GAAAAAAATTAAGTGAAAAAGTTGATTTCTAAATTAGACTTTTTTACACACTTGACATCCCGTACCGTCTCCTTAATATGGAATTCACAGCCAAGACGACCTGTTTGCCAGTCAAAAGTTGCAATATGACCTTTTCGACCACCTATTAACATGTATCTGAATATTTTATATGAAATTAAAAATCGAGTGCATACAAATTGACATCAAAAATCCAATTTACCGGCCATTCCGAGTGTAATCTAAAGCGTAAGGCCCAAAAGTGGGTAAGTCTAAATTAAATATCTAGATAAAAAAAGCAATTTAATATTCGGTTAGATTGTATAAATTAAGCAAAAAACCAAAAAAAAAATAAAGTACCTTTGACGCCGAACTTATGTCTATATGCTCTTTTAATTTCTCTTGTGTAATTTGAAAGGTTTTCTCCATTCCTTCAGCTTCAAGTTGGCTAAATAAATAAATTCAATATCAAAATATGTCGAAAAAAATAGAATCAAAAATTAAGTATAATTACCCAGCTTCCTCGGTCAATAATAATTCAGAGCGCGCTGCTTTTTGTGCAGCATCATTAAATCTTTTTTCAGTACGTTGTAAAGTCCCTTTTAATTTTTTATTTTTTATTTTCTAAATTATGAATCATTTAGCGGAAAATTCAAGTTAAGAAATAGAAAAAGATTGATTTCTTCATATGCACCTTTAGTTGTTTTTTACTCAAGACACCTTCAGCTTGTCTTATATATTTTGGCAATATTGAAGCCAAATGATCTTTCGATTCATCCTTTTCTTCATTGTTTTTTTCATTTTTTTCGATTGTCTCTGAGGTATCAGACATGATAAAATACGCGAGAAATGAAAAATAGTTAGTTGATCAAATCTCACGTGGCAACTATTTATTCTTACGCACGTAGTGTCGACCAGCCAACGAGCCAATAAGAATACGCAAATTTTTATAACTTTACATTGTTTCCATTTTTGCTAAAATGTCTTTTACATGGCAAACACGTCCTGCTCGTACACAAACAACGAATAATCAACGACAAGGTTTTTCTTTTATTGCAATTTCGAATTTTTATCTAATAGATTGCGAATTAAAGAATTTATTACTAAGAGCTTTTATTTTTATGCGTTTAATAAAGGAGGGTTGGAACAACAGCAAGGACGTCTCACAAACACTTCAAATAGAAATAATTCAGGAAAAACTACCACTAAAACAAAGACGACGACACATACAAGAAACGATGGGGGAAGTCATAGTCAGCTGCAGCAAGAGATATGCGGTGATGGAGGACAACGATTAGGTGGAGGTTCTCTTATGCAAGAAGCTACAGATGTCGGTGTTAACCCGGTATTATTAGCTGCCGTGAGAAGAATGCAACAAACTCAAAATATTGAGAGTGGAAAAGATAGGCGCGACGAAGAGGGTAAGAATGTAGAGAAAGATGATGGAAAGTAACGGTAGCAGCAATAGGAATTATCGTGTAAATGCCATCTTTATTATTTCTTTCTCGTCGCTTGACAATCAAACTTTTAATTCCGAACTTAATTTTTTTCTTTTTCTATTCCATTGTCATCTCTCTCACTTTCAGGTGAAGTATCACTACTGCTACCACTACCGCCACCACTTTCACTACTATCATCTTCATCATCAGTACCGGCCATTCGATTCGTATTTACGAATAACTCGGATTCGTTTTCATCATCATCATCATCATCATCCCCCTTCTCTTCACTAAATATATTACTCTTATTATTGTCAGTTTCTAACGCTCGTGTATTGTCAGTATTGTCGAACTCTTTAGGCCTAATAAAATTAATTTACAAAATATGTGTTATAATATTTTTTACTTAACAAAAAATGTCACCAAAACAAACCATATATCTCCCAATTTCAACTGTTTGACATGTTCCGTTAACAACACATGCACTATTTCACCACCAATTTTGTTTTTTGATGCGCGATCCGAATTCAATAGTGTTATTATAACAAAACTTCCTGTAAAATACAAAAAACATGACAAGTTAATAACGGCAGATATAACCCATTAGTTTAGACCAGTCAATGCGAAAAAGATACCTCTTTTCACCCAAACCAAATTACGAAATTTCGGCGGTAACCTACATAATGTAGCACTTTTATTCGTAATGGTAACATTTGCAGTATCCACATATTCGACCTCAAATAGATTTTTCCCGCGACTGCTTAATACTCTGGCTATTTTCTGGTTCGATGTGGGAAGTGGAGTCGTGGTCAATAGTTTGTTTGTTGTCTTTTGTTTGCGTGCCATTTTCAAGTGTTACAATCCATTTTTTTTCTGTTAAGTAAACCCTGATACGACGTCATGATGATACGATTATGTTGATCAAGCGTGGGAATATACATTTACATTAAAAAAAGTATATATAAAAGTAGCTTTATTTGTAATAATCAAAAAAAGATACGGAAAAAAGAAAATGTCTGGAATAAATCCCTCAAAAGATCATTTTAAACAAGAGCATTCAAGTACAGCTGGATTCGCGGGTGGTCCCACGTTCTCAGCGCATGATAAATATGACAACGCTCGCCATTTGAATTACGGACAAACAGAGAATCAAAAGAAGAGTGTGGCAGAAGAAGAGACTAAGAATGAGACGAGGTCTTTAATCAAATCTTAATATAATGCTTTATCCGCAACTTTCCAAATATTGGTATTTAATTAACGAAAATGTAAAAATCTAGTCCAACTCATCGTATTCGTCGATACTCTGCCTCGGGTGACTCCGCACCGCGAGCAACTCATACATTCATGGATGAAATCTTGGGTGGAAAGACGGGCGACGATCTGATTGAGAAAAAGGAGCATCTTGAAAGGGATCGTCAGAATCATCATCGGAAGGAGCAACATCATGATAAATTAGAACATTGATTAATAATTGATTATTATAATTTATTATAATGACTGTTAATCTAATTTAAGAATATTATAATCGTGTCTTTTAATATTATAATCGTTCATCACCAAAAAAACCCTTGAAATAAAATGTATCCGATTTTGTTTGATTATAAAATTAATAAAATAATTTTTATATTAAAGATGATAAATAATAAATAGTTCAGGAACATAAAATTATTATTATTTAAGCGCTTAAAAATTAATGAACATTTGTTTTTCCCAAATCAACACTAAAAATACAAAATAATTACTTAACCTTACCACCGTCAATATCATCAGCCAAACGAATCACCATCATCAATTCTGTCCACGTAACAATATTTTATTCTTATCCTTTCGTATATTCTTTTCCTCGCTCTCAATCACTAACGGATCAACACGATACAAACTATTCAGATATCCTTGCCGCTGCCATACCAACAACTCTTTCTCAGCCTTTTTAACACGTTCCATAATTTTATGTGGGTCCGTCTCGTTCTTATGCATACGAAACTGATCCCGTGCGCGACGTTTCACATAATCACGGAAATTGTAGTTTGAAAATTTGGAACCAGCACGTAGGAACCCTCGATACAGGTGAAGAATATGCGCTCGGTCTGGTAGGGCACGTAATGTGTTTGTGTATGCTGTCGGTATCGGTATAGACATTTTATTTATTTCAGTATAATATGTTTAATTAATTAATTCTCTGATAATTTATGGATTTTATTTTTTGCAAATAAATGTATAGCGGGCAGGATAAAATTTACAACGACAAAAAATTTGTAGATCTATTTATCTAGTCATGTGTTGATCGCTATTTTTTATTATGTGAAACCTTTCCCAACGAAACAGAAAAAGTGAATATTATTGAAAATGACTATAGACAGTGCAATGTTTACGTGACGTTGACTTGGGATCTAATATTTTGCAAGTGTTGCATTCTTGAGAATAGTAAGGAACGCCAGGAATCAAAGGCATTATTCGTTAAAATGCGAAAAGAGTAGTATATCATGATACAGTGCGTTACATAATTTTTAATTTTTTCCATAAATATTTATTTAAATAATATAAAAATTTAAATATATACTTAAGAGCATGATAAACAACTTTATTTAAGACCACTTAAACACTTAGCTTATTAAAATTTTTTATAATTTATATTTTTAAAATTAAGAATTTTTAATAATTAGAAAACTTAAATAAAT